ATTTGCCCCTCTCTCTAATAAGAGACCTTCACTTTGGAGATTTTTAAAAGCTTCAGAATAGAATTTGAAGATGTTAGATTTTTATTTTTTATTATATTGTTTTAATTTTGTTTAGGTTATGTATTAGTTTCCAAAGGCAAAAGACATTATCTTTATGGAAACTTGAACAAATTGTTATTTGTTCAAGGGAGAAATTGTTTTCCTTTTTTGTAGTGCATCTGTTTCTCTCTCTCTCACTCACTCTCACATAAACATTTTATTTAAGGCTGCAAATAAAGTTTGCTTTAATGATTTTTTCTTAATTCTCTCTTGTTTTCATACATGATAACAGAAAAATAATTGTGAATATCCAACAAAGAATGTAAAATGGAATATATAAAAACCAGTTGGATGTTGAAAAACACTTTTATTTTAGTATCAACTTTTTGATATTCTAACATTAATACTAAAAGAAAATAAAAGTTCAAAATCCAACTGATTTTCAAATGAGGTAACAAATACTTGGTTCAACTATATGTAAAAATTGTCCCCATGTATACATACACTAGCTGGAGTCTAAATTGTCTCCATGTATACATACACTGGCCACAGTTTAAATTCTCCCCATGTATACATACATTGGCTCCAATCTAAATTGTCCTCATGTATACATACAATAGCTGCAGACTAAATCTGCACATGTGGCAGAATTACTGGCAGTATATCCAGAAGGGTGATCACACAGTATCAATGGGTGCAGAGCTTCTTAGACTTGACTTCAAGTTAATATCCAGGGTGGTGAGTTCTCCCAATGAAATCCATAGTTACATGTTTGTAAACAAGGAAAACCTCCAGGTTGGAGGACATTGGACATAGTCTGACATGGAGAGGGATGGGTTCTGCCAGGATAATTGCACAAGATACATTATGTATGAATGAATACCACTTCAATTTTCAACCCAGATATTGGTATATAACTGAAATATGTAGAGGGAGCTGGGTTGGTACTTAGCTGGAGAGTGACCCTACAACTACAGCCTGGTGGTGGTGATGGTGATGATGATGATGATGGTAATGATGCACTGTAACAAAAACATCTATTATCTTGTAATTTGTAAAAGATAATTACACCAAACCATATTTGTGGCATTCAATAAAAATTGCTTAAATGAAAAATTATTGCATTCATATATATATATATATATATATATATATATATATATATATATATATATATATATATATATATTTATATATTATATGCACAGTACTTATTAGAAAGCGCTCAATATCAGAGATAGAGTTAACATATTTGGTTGGATTGATGTGAGTTTCAATCCAACCAAATATATATATATATATATATATATATATTATGTCAAATGTTATTATAGTGGATATACATATTTGAAATAGACACTTCATTTTTATTTTAAACTGTTGGTATTATGTCTATCAGCCTATGCATTTGAGAAATCTTAATAAAGAGAATGTACTCTCCAGCAGGCATCAAACCTGTGTTTCCCGATTGTAGAAGATTCCACTGTTGGATCTGGCTTTATCTCACAAATACCATCTCTCTCTCTCTCTCTCTCTCACACACACACACACACACACACACACACACACACACACACACACACATATATATATATATATATATATATATATATATATATATAAATAAAGGCAGTAATCCTTCTTTTATGCATGCATGATTAATTTAATACAAGGAGCAATGAATATTTTCTAAGCAATTTCTAAAGAATTAATGCATTTATTTTTTTAATCTTACATTTTTATTATTTCAAACCTTATTATATTGTAGATACTCATATTTAAAATAGACACCTCATTTTTATTTTTATTTTAAACAATGTTTATGATGTTTATCTGCCTGAACATTTTAGAAATCTTAAAGAAGATTTTCTTTCTGGCAGTGATCAAACATGTCTTCCTGTTTAATCTGGTGTGCTTTACTGATTAGCTACAGAGAGTTTCATAGTCCAGCAAAGTTTTATTTTTCCTTTTAATTCAGATATTTTTCTCAAAAGCCCATAACTGCTCAGTTTCATATCTGAAATGTAAACAAAAGAATTTTTAAAGAATTAATGCATTTATATTTTAATCCAACATTTTTATTACTTCCAATATTAATATATTTGTGGCCTTCAATGAAAAAAAATTGTTTCATATATATATATATATATATATATATATATATATATAAAAATATAGTTTGAAGATATGGTATATTTATAGGCTAATGGACTTGATATATGTAAATATAAAAGTGCACATTGAGGTCAACACCTAGTGACAACAGTCTGTTTCCTGCTTAAATATAATTTTCAGGCCTGACAATTGTGTTTAACCATCATTTATATACATATGTATATAAATGATGGTTTATATATATATATATATATATATATATTTATAAGGTAAAGCATTATTAGAGTGGATACTCATATCTGAAATAGAGGCCCTATTTTAATTTTTATTTTAAACAGTGTGTATTACCAGTCTGTACATTTGAGAAATCTTAATAAAGAAAATGTCCTTTCCAGCAGGGATCAAACTTGTATCCATATATAATTAAAAAGTAAAAGCTTTGTCATTTAGCTGATTGATATTACTTTCAGAATCCCAATTCCAGAGTTTTGTAGAATTACTCTGTCCACTTGTCAGAATGTATCAGCAATTGACTGCTTATACTCCTTGATTTTTCTTTTTTATATGCTCTTTACACTGTTGCAAGTTTTTGTCCTTTTCATAGTGTGTGTTCACCCATACACCAGTCTGCACATACTTTGTGCACTAACTTTGTTTCCAACCCCCTATATATATATATATATGCATTATTACACAACAAAATCCAAAATTACCTCATGTGGATAGATCTATTTCAACCGGCGAAAATTTCATCAATTTTATTCAACTCCAGTGTATTGACTGAGTTTGTGTCAGAATTCAGAAATTTAACTATGACAGCCATCAAAAAATTAATACAGAATTTATCTATTTCAATGTTTCAGTCAGACGAAATGGACAAGACTGTGTTCAGGGTAGGGTGGAAGGGAAGAGGTTTTAGAAAAATTAAACCCGGATATTAACCTTATGATATTAAATTGGGTTTATATGAAGAATGAAGTGTTAATTTGAAACTAAAAGAGGACCAAAAAAGAAGTTTTATAAAAAATTTATATAGATAAGGATAGGTTTAAAAATACAAGTTCTTACTTAAAAATACTCTTCCAAAGATAAATTATACTTAAAAATAAGATATATTTAAAAAATTAAAAATAAGTCATTTATAGATAATTTATATTAAATTTAAGTAAGAATATATTTTTTAAAATTATAATTATTAAAAAAATTGTTAATAAAAAAAATATTTAAAAATAAAATAAATTGTACATTAGAAAAACATCTTTAACTTTAAAGATAAGTTAAATCAAAAACAAGTTATATTAAAAAACCCAACAATACAAAGTTATATTTTAAAAATTATTATATTCTAAAATTTCTAATTCAACATGAATTCAGTCTATACACTGGGGATGAATAAGTCTGATGAAGTTTTGTCGGTTGAAATAGATCTATACCCACATAAGGTAATTTTGAATTTTGTTCTGTAATACTACATATATATATATATATATATATACACCTCAAGAAATTTTTCACAAGGGTGAGTTTGCAATGTGTGGCTAGGCATTATCATGAAGGAATATGACATTAATCAATTCTGGTTGTTTTTGTGCAGTTGTGCTCCAGCATTTCTCAGTTAATCATGCCCTTCACATCTCACCAGTAACAAACCACGAGCTTCTTTTGATGCTGGTTACACTTTGCCTGAGATTGTGCAGTTGCCCTCTTCCTGTCCAGCTTCTTTTGCATATCACTTTTAAATACAAACACCATTTTTCATCTGCAGTAACCACTTTGTTCAGCCAATCATAATGGCACTTTTTGGACAGTAGTCTCATGCAGGTGTCCATGTGGCATCAATGGTCAAAGTAGGTTAGTTTACATGGAACATTTACATCCACTTTGCTAACTTTTTGCTCCCAAGTGATGCAAAATGGCTATACGATTGATGCCTAACTTCTCAGCCAGTTTATGTGCTCTCAAGTGTGGATCAGCTTCAATACAGGTGCATAAATGCTCATTGTCCTTGTGTACGGATCAACCACTTCATGGCTGATCTTGGAGATTGAATTGGCCATGCTGGAATTTCTTGAACCGATCATAGGCCCTGCAATAACCAATTGAGTCTTCTTCAAATGCTTAGTTGAGGCATTACAATTGGCTAGTGTTTAGGCCAGACTTGTAATCATGTGGCAAAAATGTTTGTTGTTGTTTATAAGAGATTCATTTGGTCAGCCATTTTTGGAACTTGTAAGTTCTAAAATGATGAAAATAATCAATAATCAATCAAAAGATATTGCATTTACTATATTTGCTATATTAATGAGGGAGATATCAGAACATTTGTTGATATAGACAGTTTGGGCATAGAAATCAACGCTACTTGATGATTGTCAGCTTCATGGCTCAAACAATCTCCAGACCATGTCCCTCTTACTAGTACCGAGTCCATAGATAATCTACTGGGGTCTATGGGATGTGGGGGAAGGAGGAAGTAGGCCCTCCCTAGTTTATTTTGTTAAGGGTTTAGAGAGAGAGAGAGAGAGAAAGAGAGTGTTTCAGTTATTTGACAAATTAATATACATAAATCCACACCCAAAAGAATTATTCTTCCATGATTGGTCATTTAAGTATAAGTTCCTTGCTTTGCTGGTCCTTAATGTATAATCACTCAGTCTCTCTTACTTTCAAATAGCAATCTTTGCTTTACATCAAAAGTTGTGTTAATTTCTAATTTGAATCCAGCTATTGACATATAATTTATTTGATAAATGAGGGCTTCACATTTCTCTGCATGGAAAATGTTTAATGCAGTACATTATACATAATATGATACATAATTTACTAGATATATTATTTATTTGCAGAGCTGTGGAAAGTAACACGGATCGAATAAAGAAGGAAGATGTTCAATTGCTGGCTCCAATCACCCAACCTGATAAATTAATTTGTATTGGAATGAATTACCAAGACCATTGTGCAGAACAGAATGTCAAGGTTCCAGTTGAACCAGTTATTTTCAGCAAGTTTTCAAGTTGTATTATTGGACCTCACGATGATATCCCTTACCCAGAAGAAACAGAGGTATAAAACCAAATACCACAAATAATGTTTTTAATCTAAACAAAATTAAAAGGCCTGAATATAAGATTATTCAGAATATAATTTTGAAGTTGGAGATAAAATTGGATGCAAATCTAATTTAATTAAATTTTATTAATGATACAATTGCCTTCATTTGTAACTTGTTTGGTGTATTTGTTTGATCAAATTTCAAATCTAAATTGTTTGTCCATTTAAAATGCAACATTTATTAGGAAATATATTCAGTTTAAATACAGAAGGAATAATAAAAATGACTTCTAAGTGCTGCACATTTTGGTTGATATTCTTTTCCAGTTAACTAGGGTTGTTGTTAAAATACAAAGGGAAATCATGACACAGATTTCTGTTTCAATTTCATTTGAATTGTGTGTGTATGTACATTTTCAAATGTACATTACTATTTTAATTAGATGACAAATCCAAAAATATTACTATGAAATTGAAAGGGAAATAAATTATTTATTATAATAACCAAATATTTATTATTATTACCAAATAATTTTTGAAAAAGTTCAATAAAATCTTATGAATATCTGATTTCTTTCAGGGTTTTAAGATATTAAAATTTTTTTTATTCTTGTCTTCAACTTCAATTTTATTATTCAGACCAAGTTAGGTGTTGTCCAATCTGAGTGGGAGGGAAATATATTATTCCATTATCTTGTTTCAAACATAATCAAATTGTGTATATATATATATGTGTGTGTGCTTGTAAGTTAAATGGCATAAACTCATGTAACAACATTCACACAACACAGACAATGCACAATTACATGAAGATAGTGTGTGATGGACAGAGAATCAGCTCTGTTTTTATAATATAGATTACAGCAGCCAAACATTGAAGTAGTTTTCCATTCTATTTAGATAGAATTTTAGAGTTTTTAATAAAAAGAAAGCAGAGAAACCTGAATTGGTATCTTCAATATTAATATTATTATAATATTTAATATTATTAATGTCATGATAATGAAAAATAAATTCTATGAATTGAAACCTTTGATAATTCAAATATATGGGATTTGATGAGTAAAGAGCATAAGCTAAGACTTTATTTGCTCCTGAATTTGTTTTACTAATTCTGGCTTTGTAGTATTATGTAGGAGAAGGATATACTTTCTGTGCACCAAAGTTGCACATATCTGATGTTATTTGTTTATAAGAAAAAATCTAGGGAAAATGATATTTCAAATTTTTGTTAAGAAACTTTCTTTTTACTGATTTCTTCTACTACTGGCAACTTTAAATATGCTTCCAGACTCAGGGTCTTCTCAAATCTTAAATACTCACTAGCTTTTGTCGAAATTTATTATTTTTATTTCTACAGTTGAATATTCTGGGTATTTAGTGAGATAAGGCACACTTCTAATTACTTATCTGATATGCTTACACCATTGCTAGACTTGATAAGAATTTAGAAAGATTAAGATAAGGTGCTGTGTACTAATTTGGGTCATCTTAATTGGTGGTCAACAAGAATAAATTTCATCTATAATCAGGCTTCATGAATGAAGATTTTAAAGTGGGTTGAAGAATCTTAAGAATCTTAGATATATAAATATTAATTAACATGCACATACTATATTTAAAATTTGCTCTATTTATGGGGAAAAGTGTTCAATATGAGATAAATTGTTGATATTGACAGTTTGGGCACTGCTTGATGACTGTCAGTTTTATGCTTCTATATATACAAGGTGATTGAAAAAGTAATTCATTATTTTATGTATGAGTGACCAGCTAGGAGTCCTGACTTAACAACCTGTGACTTTTTTTGGGGAGGGGGGAGTTGGTTAGAGGACAAAGTTTACTATACCAAACCAAGAGTTTGTAAGAACTTGAAGGGTGAATACAAGAAATTATGTCTTCTATACTACAAGAGTCCCTGGTGAAATCAGTTGACATGATTCCTGGGAAAGCTCAAAAAGCTGGTAACAAAATCTGGTGCCCATATTCAATTTTAAATAAAACCTCATGCTAAAAGCTTTCCTCCATATACATTTCTTGTAAAAATTATAGTTAATAAATAAATTATAAGTATTTTAAAATGGGGAGTTACTTTACAATCACCTGGTGTGTGTGTGTGTGTGAGAGAGAGAGTGGGAGAGAGTGTGTGTGTGCAGGTTCAAGATTCTTGAACACATTTCTATTAAAATTTTGTATATAAGATATATCACATCATAAAACAGTCACAAGAAGTAAGATAAAGTCCACAAAAAGAATTTATGCAAAATACTTCAATTAATATCATCTAAGTTGTCTTAATTTAATTTTATTTCATTTTACATGAATTTTTCAGGAACTTGATTGGGAAGTGGAACTGGCATTTGTCATTGGAAAAGAAGGGAAAAAAATTGCTGTAAGTATTTGAGGAAGATTTTCAGTAGATTCCTTCCTATCATACATTACACTTGTTATAATTGTATTCAAATTGTTGTTGACTTTAAATCAAGAACATTTGATATGACTTTTCATTTACAATTTATATCTGCAGGTTTTTGTCTGTTCAAAATCATTTATCTTGCCAAACTGCTACTCAGCCTTGCTATTGTCTTCTAGGGTAAGGTTATTGTTTTCTAGGGTAAGGTTATTGCATGCCAAATGAGTGTTTGAACTATAAGAAAAAAGGCAAAACAGGAAAATATTTCTATATTATTGCTACTCTGATTACTGCTTCAAAAGAACTAAGAAGATATAAAAGGAGATATTTACAAAGAGTGACATTTACAAGGTAATTCGTAGCATTATAATATTTGATAAATATGATTACTGAAATGATAATAAACATTGGATGAAATAAAAAATTTTCTAATGGATTTTTTTGCAACACTCAATGACATAATATTTTTTTCTGTTCAATTGGAAACCACTCATAGTTAAAAACTAAAAGAAATGTCCAGTATAGAATTAGCCCACCTTGTCCACCAGGAGACTTCTTTTATTGGCCACTAGGTGGGGTTGTAAAAAGCAGTATAAAAGGAAAGGGTAAAAATCTTTTCTTTTCTTTCACTCTTCAACTATAGGATACCATAGTTACAAGGTGTCTTATTTCCCCTCTAGAGAATTTTTTAGTCAGACCCCCATACAACACAATATTATCACTACACTATCTCCTGTGTGAAAAAAAATCTGATATACCCATAACAATATTGCCACTACAACTTGTTACATAAATATATATCTTTCTTCAACACAAGAAAATATCCCCGTTCAACCAAAGAAGATAATGCCACTACAAATTGATGACTCACTTAACAAACTGGTAATCTAATACCATTACACTAGCATTTTTATTATTAAGTGATTTAGTGATTCACTTTTTTGACCTCTTATCCCCACTAAATATTCATTATGCCGTTTTAAAGATTTGCATTAATTTCTGAATTCCAGCTGATGATTTTCCGTCTTACAAAAGGATAACAAAATTTATACGTTATTTTTCTTATTTAATTTCAACATTTTTTCTTCACATGTTTTGCACATTAACAAAATATATAAGCTTTGAATATAAATGACTTAAACAGTAAATTCACCAAAATATGAGCTTAGATAAAGAAAACTAAGTTCCTCTCTAATTTTATTAAAACTTAAATCCATTTATTTTTTGTAGCATCAAAAAAAGAATTATTGTGAATTTAAGATGAAACAGATTTCCATTGTTTTCATTGATGATTTTACTTGGTTGATGATTATTTTAATTCAGGAATAAAAATAAATATATTAATTTTGGAATTCTTTTGAGATACAAGAAATTATCTTGATGAATTTACTTACTTGGTTTTATGTTTATCATTATTTTAATTCATGAATAAAAAATATATTGATCATTGAATTCTTTCAACTTATCTTGATGCATTCAATTTTTGATCTCCTATGTATATTCTTTATTTTCTTCTTCATTTTATCAGGCTAAAGATGCTATGTCTCATGTATTTGGTTATACTGTGGCACATGATGTCAGTGCTAGGGACTGGCAGATGAAAAAGAATGGAAGGCAATGGCTTCTAGGTAAATCTATGGATGGGTTCTGCCCCCTTGGACCCTGTATAGTTATGAAGGAAAATATTATGAGTAAGTGTTATACTTAAGCTTTAGTATTTGTAAAAAGGTATCATGAATATTTGTGTATTCTCTTGAATTCTTTTGAGGGTTTTTTAAAATAAATATTTGACTTACATATATTTAAAATCATTTGTTATTACTGAATTGATAGGAAAATCATCTTCATGTTTGCTAAAAGATGTAATATACAATTTTAGCACAGAAGTTGTTTTAAGCATTTTTTCAATGAAATATCACAGATATCAGTGAATTCAGTTAAGGTGGCATTATTTTTATGTCCATTTTTTTTATTGTTTAGATGCAAATCTGTTTACTGAGGATCTTCTAAGCAGCTCTATCATCTTCTATATCCTGTGTCCCTACAGGACATTGGTGATCATAACTCTGCACAATTTCCTGTCTATTGTAACTCTTAATATATTCATTTACTCAAGCTTTCTAGGTAGGTTATGTGTTGTTTTTCATCTTCTGAGTATCAAATTTTCCAATCCCTCTTTCTTTATTATGTGACCTAGAAATTTCAACTGTCTCTTCTTGATGTTAAGTATAAGCTTTCTTTTTGTTTCTCTTTTCTCTAAAAATTTGTTGTTGCTAACATGTTTGTCCATGATATTCTCAGCATCTTTCTGTAGAACTGCATTTCTTTTGCTTCAAGTTTCTTCTTCATCTGCGAGGAGATAATCCAGTATTTACTGTCACATAAGTGGATAGACATCACATAACAGTTCAGTACTATTTTCTTTGTTTCTAATGAATTTTTTCTCTTCCTTAATCTTAGATCATTGCAAAAGTTTCTGCCCAATTAGAAAATTAAAAAGAAAATTTTACATACTCACAAAAAACAGTTATTACTCAAATACATAGTCTCCATTGTTTTTGACAACTGTCTCACATAATTCTACAAGCTTGTTGATGCCATTTTTGAGGAAACTCTGTTTTTTGTTAGAAGAAGGTTGTCTGCTATTTTTCCACTGACTATACAGTGTCATTTTTTTGTCATTTAAATTATTCTGTATAGACTGGAACAAATGAAAATCAGGAGTAGCCAACTTAGGAGAATATGGTGGGTGCTGGAGGATTTCCTATTTAAGCTTCTACAAGGTCTGTTTTGCAACATGTAGTCTTGGATTGAAATGTTTGTAAATGATTTTTTTTTTTGATTTGCCAGATTTGGCCATTTTTCTTGAATTGAGAATGGTAAGGTGGCTTCAATACTTCTTTGCAATATTGTTTTGTTGACTGGAAGAAGTACTTCTGCAATCCCATTAAATGGATAGAAACATTTTAATTGGATGCAAGCCTGCTTTAGACATGGGTTCTGTAAATTCACAAGCTTGTTTCCAGTTCTGTTTGTATTGAACTATTATAAATGATTCATTTTTCATCATCTGTGACAGTTCTGACCAAAAATAGCTACTTTTTGTGGCATAACAACAAAGAAATCACTGCAGAAATGAAAATGAGCTTGTTCTGTCAGAGAATGTTGAGTTTGGAAACAAATCTAAGTATCTTCAAATGGCAATTGAGATATGGATTTTCAAACTCTTAGCAATCTCTTCTCTTAAACCTTTGGTTTACTCTTCATGATGACAAGCAGAGTATCTTCATCAACATTAGAATGTTGCCTGGAGCATGAGTGATCATTTATATTAACATCGTTCTACTGAAATCTGCCAAACCATTTTTAATTGTCCAAAAAGTTGGAGCACAAAAAATGTTCTAAATGTTTTTTGTCACATTTCCTACATTTACTTTTTTCCAAAATTCATAGAGCTTAATATGGCAAAAGTGCAACTTTTCATCCTCCATCTTCATCCATAAGGCATTCATTTGTGGACAAAATATCAACATTCAACAAAGTCTGACTTGCAATTGAATGACAAGGTTTCAATCTAGAATACACTAGGAATTGGCACGAAAACAAATGCTAGTGTCAAGTTGCAGTCATTTTATATTAACAATGAAAATTGGGCACAAACTTTTGCAATGATATGATACTTTGCTTAGCTTTTGGAAGGTATTATTCACTATCACACTAAGCCTTCAGATTTTAGTGTTGTACTTCCTCTGTTATAACACTTCCCAAATATTTAAATTGGTGTACATGTTTGATTTTGGTATCTCCAATTTATAATTTGTTTGTTGGGATGTTCCTTTTACAACAATGCATTTTGTCTTCTTGCATTTGATGTTTAGTCTTTTCTTCTCACTTTTCTTCACTATCTTCTGTATGAGTTCTTGTAGTTTCCTTTATTTGTTTTCTCTCAATACTGTGTCATTTGCATATCTTAGGTTGTTAAGGATTGTATCCACTAATAATGAATCCTGGTAGAACATCTAATTCTCTCTGAATCTCTTCACTGTAAAGGTTGAATAAGTCCAGTGAGAAGATACACTATGCAGGCAGTTTACTGCCAGTGTTGGTTCTAAGCAGTTCCAATAGATGTTTGTGGCATATTTTATCAAACACCTTTGCATAATCTATTAAACACTGGTATACATCCTTCTTCAGTTGTATTGCTTTTTCTGTTAATATTCTGAGCATAAATATCACATGCCTTATTTCAGTGTCTTTGACAAACCCAGACTCTTCTTGTCCTTTTTCCAGTCTGATTCTGCTGCATGCTCTAGTTATCAGAATTTGGTTTTGTTATATGGCTCATTAGGCTGATTGTCTGATGGAGTTCACATTCATTTTCCCTTGGCTTCTTAGGCAGTGCTATGAAAATAGATCTATTTAGGTCTTCCAGTATATCACCACTGTTATAGATTTCATTTATTAATTTTGTAATCTTGTCTATGCTGAAATCATTTAAGGCTATCAGCATCTATACTACAATTCTATTTGGTCTTGTTGCTTTGTATCTGTTCAATTTTGTCAGTACTGATTTCACTTCAGATCTTAATATTTCTGCTCCTTCAATATTTCTGTGTATTGCTGGTTGTTCTCTTTCATCATAGAAGAGGTTCTCTGATGTATTTTTTCTTTCTCTAATACCAGTGACCCTTTAGATTTTATGCATCTTGTTGATGAACATATCTTTTGACCTGACAGAAACCATTTCATTATCAATCTCAAGAAAACTCATGGCTCAACAAAAAACTTGCAGAAATGAGTATCACTGATAAAGCATATATGCATAAAAAAATACAAGAACTAACAGGACAAAAGGCAGCCCTATAATTATTCATAAAATATTTTTATTTAAAAAAATTAGTTTTACTAAATGTTCACCCAGTGCAAGGCCAAAGATCCCCTCAAGGTAGAGGGTTACTAAATGTGGTTGTATGGATGTAGGAGGAAGTGTAGATTATAAGGATATGTTTGATAGGTAACAGTTGACCTTAAGACATGAGATTAAAATTGTAGTGTTTGGTGTAGCATCCTCTATGGCGTCTGTTCCATAAAGTAGCGACTCTTGGAAAGAAACTGTTCAATGGAAGTGAATTAGTGTAGTTCACCCCTGTATATATGGCATAGTTTTTTTTTGTCTAAATGTCTGAACAGTTGGAACAATGGAATGTAAATCATCAAAACATTTTCCATAGAAATACACTAGTGAGAGCTGTGTGATGTTGTGTCTGTACAAAAAGGGTTATGGGGAAAAATAATTGTCTGTAAGGTCATATAAAGGCTGGAAAGAGAGGATTGTATAGCTCCAGCCCAGATACGGCAATAATAATTCATTTTGCGTCTGATCTGAATTTTGTAAATATAGAACATGGTAAGTTCTGTTGTGGATTTGAATCAGCCCACAACAAAGAAAAATGCAATAAAAGTGTTTATGTATAAAAATATAAAATATTTTTATTTTCGTGTTTTTTTACAACTAAATTTTTCTTAGTGTTTGTAACTGTTAAAGTTCTTACACTCCTTGTTCGTAGTTACTTGTTAAGATGAAAAGGAATGTGATTTCTTCATGTTTATGTGTGAGAAAAAAGAGGCAAGAGGGAAAGTGAGGAGGAAAGCATAAATATCGCATAGCTTGGTGAGGAAGATGGGTGAATAAGCAAGAGAATTTCTTATTAATCAATGTGTCACAAAATTGTTGCCATATATTGCTGTCTGTCACTTTTTTCTTACTGACTTGTCAAGCCTAGAAACTTTGTTTAAATAACCTTCAAATGGATCATGAAGTATGTTCATGTATGCACAAATCCTCTGACTCAGAAACCAGGTTTTTGTCATTTGGTGTTTGACTCTCTTGCTGTTTACTACCATCCTCACTCCACAGTTGCATGCTAACAGTTTCTTCTTTCGCACATCTCTCATTTGTGAAACTCTCTTCTTAATTTCTGTTGTTTTATTGTTCTCTCCCCTTAATGCTTTTCCATTTGTCTCATATTTTTCTTATATTGTTTCAAATTCAGCAACACGCCCTGTTGGCTGGGGCTTTGGAATACACTGCCTGCACCTCTGTAGACGGGTAAGACCCCCTGTCAAATGAGGCGTCCTGGGTAAGACGATAAACTATATCCAACAGCTGATCAGGAGGTTTTGAGGAGCATGGAATCACCTCTTAATTGCTGGTATTCCCAGGTCCACCCTGACAAGGGCTAGTAGCACCAGTAAGGGTCCCAGCTATGGGCAAATAGTTCACCCAAAACTGGGGTCAAGACACTATGAAAGTGTAAAAATAGGTTTTAGTACCAGCAATGAATTTTTGAAGAAAAAATTATTACCAGCAATACATTTTTGGAAAAAATATTACCAGCAATAAAAATCTCGTCTGCATTAAGTAGCACATTGAGATTGATATGCTGTAAAACAAAACAAACCAAACCAAATCACCCTCAGTAACATCTTGCATCTTATTGGTCTTGCTTGGGCCTTTTTAAAAATAAAAATGTAGGGGAGATGTACTTAAATGTGATACAAGGAGCTGGCCATTTTTCTAGTATCTTTAGCAATTAATTTTATATATCTATTCCACTTTCATTTTAAACATGTGAAAAACTACTTTGTTAATAACTTTTTCAAATGAGTTGCTCTAAAGTGTTATTCTTATTGAAATTATAACATATGATTTCATTTTCCATTATTGAAGCTAAAAGATTTACTTTGTGGTCACCTGTAATGTACTGTTCATGTATATAATAGAATTGCTCAACTCATTGTTATTCTACAGGTTTAAATATTTTTTCAAAAAGTCTTTGTATTATAGAAAAATACTTAAAAATAAAAATAAGGCTACAAAACATTTGTATTAAAAGGCAGGAATCACTGGCATAACAACTAAGAAGGTAAGAAATGATAAACAACATACATTTGTAGGGTTTTAACATAATTATTTATATTAATTGTGATCATGTGACAGGAAAAGGAAGTAGACATATGGAAAATGATATCAGAGCGAAAAAGTGAGCTGACGAAGCTAAAAGTATTAAAAATATTTTTTTATGTTAATGTTGTTTTAATAAAGATAGTTATGGAGACAATGCCAAATACATTTTATGTATTGAATTTTGTATTAAAATTAGAATTCTTTTTTTTTTTTTTTTTATAGATCCTGAAAATCTTGGAATAAGATGTTCGGTAAATGGAATCATCAAACAAGAAAGTAACACATGTAATCTTGTTCATGGAATTGAGAAATTAGTTGTTTATCTTTCAAGGTAAGTTAAACATTGAGCAGTCATTGTATTTTTCTATTTGAAATTTGACTTAATTCAATTTCATTTTCTGTTTATTCTTACATTTAATGATTAAAACTTAGAAAATTTACAGAAAATTTAGTTTCTATCTACTTGTAAAGATACAAAATTGGCATTTTTTTCATGACACTGTGACATTGATATTCTGGTTACAGCCACCAAATGTAACACATGTTTATGCTGTGTTTTTCTTTGGTAACATTAGGATCAGAACATTTGGTTATAGTTCCCAATGTAACATTGAGCCTGAGATGATCTTGATCATGGCAACTAAATAAATGTTGGACAGGATCCTGTTTTGGTCACAGGTTTGGTGATGTCCTGGATGGAGATTTAGCAGTTTTGAAGAATGCCTATACTGTGAGTTGAAATTTTACAAAGCAAAGCCAGCCACATTTCACAAAAGACTAAAGTTGATGGATTCCCAAGAGGGACTGAATTCTTGAAAAAAATGGATGAAAAAGACCAATGAATAAAGTTACATATATTTATTTGCAATATGATTAACAACCTTAGAATTGCATAACAAAATCTCATACCAAAATTTTACTGACATAGCAATAATTTAAAATCAGGGTGTTTGAATTTTTTTTTTGTATAAATGTTAAAGTATTTGGTTTTCTACTCAGTTGTGAAGTAAAATGTTTTATATTTAAAATATTGTAAATACAACATTCTGGAAAACCAAAATCATTTTTGATAAGGAATGAAATAAAATGTAGAATTTATTAAAGTTTCAAAAGCTTGCGGCTGGGATGTGTGAAAATAATTCAATGAAAATTATTGATTCTAAATTTCTTTTTCATTTCATTTTTCTATTAAGTGTTATTTAATTTTTAAAAACTTGTCAGAATTTTATTTTCTACCCTTACATCCATTTTTCAATTTAGGACTAACATTCATACTGAAAAATATCAAATTAATGATTTTAGGAATGTAATCTGTATGGAAATTATTAATATTAAGATTTTCAAATAGGAATACAATAACAATATTTGCACAGAAAATCAGCATTAATTAAAATGAAAGAAATAATAATCAAAATTGATAATGTTTCATCTAATAATAAAATTCAAGATATTATCCAGTTGTCAACTTGTTTTATTAATTTTTTTCATCTTTGTTGTTACCACAACATTTCAGGCCTTGTGCCCCACTGGCATTCTTTAGAAGTTTGATCTGGGTAACCTTCAGGAAATTTCAAACTAAACCTTTTAATTAATCTATGGAGATTGATTTTTCTCCTAATGCTGTACATACCACCCCACTACTTCCACCAAAAAAATTCCAGTTGACATAAGCAAGTAACCAAACTACACTTGATATACAATATGAAAGATGGGAATGAACAAAATGATTCTAAGATCAGTAACCTCTTGCAACTTAGTGGCTTTATTGTCTTGCTTGGGGTGAAATGATTAAAATAAAAATAAATAAGTTAATAGTAATCTTTCTTTGAAAAGGTGAACCAATCCCTAATGTGCTTATTATTTAGTTGATTATATTAGATTATTGGAATTATTTCTTCCTTTTCTTTTTCTGAATTCAATCATTTTTTTTTTTTTTGTTTTTTTAACTTTCTATTTTTCATTTAACTTTTAGATTCTTCACTTTGAAACCTGGAGATGTGATTATCACTGGAACTCCTCCTGGGGTTGGTGTTTTTAGGAATCCACCAGAATTTTTGAAGGTAAATATATATTCAGAAATATTCCTGATCAGGAAAGTCTAAACAATAAAAAAAAAGTAGGCTTGATAAGTTATTTGATAAGTAATGGTTTAAGAATATGATTTATGAGTAATCTTTTATTTAATACAGATATGATAAAAATTGCATAAGTTATTGTTAATTATAGCAGTATATAGTGAGAAACTTTTATTCTTAATATTCTATTTTTCGGTGGTGCTAAGAATATTTTTGTTGGTCTTGTGTTTTTATTTTTAGACTGATTTCTAATTCTTGATTTCATGTTGTCAGTTTTTATTTGCTAATGTATCACACTTTTTTTTTTATAAGTAAAACTTCATGTTAAGATTTGACATGAATTCTTATTATCAGGTATTTGTACATCACTCAGAAGCAGAAAGTTTAATTTCTACTGGACTAATTTTGTCTTTTTTTTCATTGACATATCTTTATTAACAAGAGTTACTTGATATCATATATAATGTTGAGTAATTGTAGACTTCATTCAAGTCCAGGAAAACATATTAACATGAGCAAAATCATTAACATTGCACTCATTACTGGATAAGTGTGAGTTCCTATTTATTTGCTGAGGTTTAACATATTTTATATTAAAAAAAAACCCCAAAACAACCATTTAATTGTATCATAAGTGAAAATAAATGACTGAAAACACTTGTTTCACTTTATGGGCATCTGCCACATATAAAATAGTGATTTCCATATTGTAAATATCATGTAAAATATAAGTGAAATGCTGAATCATCTTTGTTTTTGTTCTACAAAATCTAAGTTTTTGTTTATAAATTCAAATAAAACTGGAAGTAACCATATGATTTTCTTGAATTTTAACAAAGCAAGGAATTTAATGCAAAGTTAGGTGTATTCATAAGCTTTCTTTCAAACATGTTTCATTGAATATTACAGAAAAGGAAAATTTGATGAATTAAAAGATCTAAGATTAATATATAGCAGGTACACCAGACTGTATGTAGACACAATATTCTAAGCATGGACTTAATTTCTGGAGATAAAAAATTATCTAGCACAACACAGCAGTTGACATAGCAATAGATTCAGTATGGTCTTTCCACTTCATGTCAACCAAGAATATTAGCCTGAGAAGGTGCAACAAGTCAGTCACCTAGAGGTTAGAATCAGCCATGGTAATGGAGGTTAGAAAGGGGCCTGTCAGATAATTAATAGAGAGCAGTTTTGTTTTGGAGGCATTAAAATTAACAAGCCATTCTTTGCCCCAGTTAAGAACAGACTGGGAGGAGGTGTCGTTTTTGACATCAGCTGCCAATTTGACCTTATCAAACTTATCAGACTTACTATCAAGACAAATGTCTCAGCAGTAAATGTAAATGATTGGGTCATCAGCATAGATACCAAGTTGAGAGCAGGTGCCATCAGGATGGTTATTAATATATATAGAGAGAAAGACTCAATAGTAAATGGTAAATGAGTAAATGGTTGTGTCATCAGCATAGATACCAAAATTCTAGCTGTAAAATCCATTCAAGCCCCAAGTTCAACACTTTTTGTTTTGTCTCATAGTAAATACAATAAATGAGTTTTGAGATAATGTAAGAGATTTGTGCCTATTATTTATTATTCTTTGAAATTATATTGTTCTTGCAGAAAGGTGATGTTGTCACATGTGAAATTGATGAGATTGGATCAATCACCAACAAAATAATCTGAATTGCAATTGACGACTTCAGTATTTTAGGCAAAAAAAAGTTTTTTGTTTTTTTAAAAAAATAAGACAAATTTGACAATTTTAATGGAATGAAACATAATTAACTGATGAAAAACTTAATTTTTTATCATACAGTTTTTGTTTATTTTTTTGTATATGTAAAGAAATAAAGATTATATTTCCTTGATGGTTGTATTTTTGTTATATTTTAGAATTGTGTTTTACTTTGTTTTATTTTTAAATGGATGTGCAGGCGGTGTAATGGTTAGTTGCTCAGAATAGGCAAGCTGAGTTCCAATTCCAGTTGAGTTTATTACATTCACTTTCACACAAATACCCTTGGAAAAGGGATGAATCCATCTCTTCTCTCCTCAGCTATGGGTTAAATAGTAGGGTAGCCTGGGCTTTTCAGTCTTGATTATCGACCAGTCTAGGAGAATGACAATCCTGAATTCAAAACTGTTTGGGCATGGGGCTAGGAAGCCCATCCCATAAAAATCTTTCTATGAAAACCATAGCAGCCACATCTTGTGAGGTGAGGTTGTGGCACTATATTCCATAGGAGAGAGTATGGGACTTGAGTGAGTTTAAGTTTTTTTTTTTTTCATGGAAATACAAAAACAAAGAATAAGTGGAAAATTTGAAAAAAAAATCGTTTCAACTCCATAATTCAACTCATTGAACCAAAATGGTGATCAGAGAACACTAAGACTTTAGCACACTGTGTAAAATTTAACAGCTGCACATAGATTCAATGAACAAAGATTTTTTTTTTTTTTTACAGTGAGGTTCACTCTGGGAACCACTTGAGGTAAAGGTTTACAGAGTAAGAGACACAGTTTATACAGGTGGGGAGGATAATGATTAACAATATGAGTGGCATGGTGGGTCCTAGAATTGGAGGAAGCAAGGTGTGCAGTTCGTCCAAGCATTTTCTGTTTAATAACCCATGACTCAGACTGATATCAACTATAGGAATTTTCTATGATATCATGTTTTCACTTTCAACTTGTATTGCGGACTTTTTTGGTGCTAAAACTTGCTCTTCCTGTCTGATTATCCTCTGTCTCATAACTCTGGCATATATTCTTCCAAACTTATTAGTTTATTGTCCTGATATCGTTATCTTCAACAAGAGTTGCATCAACTTCTTTTTTTTCAGTCTTTAATTCTGTCCCATTTGCCTTAATCACCCTACATGTTGCAACTCGGACTAACTGAACTGCCTGATGAGAACAACTCTCTAGTCCCAGCCAATAACTTGTAAAAATGCCATCTCTTGTAAAATACGTAATCACCTTCCAGCAAAATTTGCTCTCTTGATGTTCTGATATTGTAGTGCAATGCTCTTTTGATTCTGTCTGATGATTCTGCTTTCCTGTAAGCTGTTTTTGCTGAATGCCATGTATTGAGATGTTTAATAACTGTATCACTCATTTCTGCCTTTTCTAAGGCTGGGAGTTGATTCTCAATAATTGATGGTAAATTGCCCAATACAAGCTGAAATGGACTATATCCAAGATGGTTTTGCATACCGCTTTTGCTTGCCCAGGCAAGAGCAACATTTATTTCTATTTTGAGATCTTCCTCCATCAATTTGTGTATGCACACATCTATGTTATACTGGTTTCTCTCACATCATTTAACCGTGGTAATTGTAGTAGTATTGTTCTAGAAAATATGTATCCGCTAATCAGTAAGCTTTAATATACTGGATATTTACCCGAGCTTTTCACAAGGCGGGGTGTGGCACAAGGCTTGTTTTTAACGTGGGCTTTCCGAGTGTGCACGCTCGGGTAAAAATTCCCTGTAGACCCCACATACACAGGATCGAGTGTCTGTCTACTTTTCCCCAGACGAGACTCTGCCAGTAGGCATCGCCTCATCTGAGTTCCTGTCCGCCCGAAAGCAGAGAATCAAGTAGAGAGAAGGATAATAAATAAATAAATGACGGAGTGGAAAAAACAAAGGCTGATGAAAAAGGGGACAAAAAACAGCTAGGGAGACTGGGAATCTCTACATGGATCATGGCAAGAGAGAGAGAGAGAGAGAGAGAGAGAGAGAGTCAAGAACAGTCCAGGAACAACATTTACTCACATTTACTAGGTAAACAAACTGTGTCTAACTTGACCAGAAGAGGTTCATAGTAAACCGATCCGTTGCGTCAAAGGGGACTTAAAAATGAAAATCAAGGCTGGTCCCATTCACTCGCAGCAAACTCGTTGAAATATGTCGATAAAAAAACGCATTTTTTCAGTTCTGATTTTAATCTTAAGCTGACGCCGAAAGAATCCGGTCAGAACCTGATGAGAATAGCGTTCGTATCGCAAGATTCCCTCCATTTGCGACGCCCATATCACCATTCCTGCCATGGAAACACAATTCGTTTAACTCTATTATCTCGCGCGTATGCGATATCAATGGACACGAGATGTTTGGGATCAATAGGAGTCGTCAGCTCGCTAACATAGTCCTAGAACGGGCGCACCTGAGGACAATGTTAGAAGGTGTGCAAAGTCGTTTCTTCTAGACCAAGGTAACACCGATGACAGTCGGGTAAATCCGCCCCGCCCTATCCGAAGGCTACGTCATTGAGAGTTAGTCCGTTCCGAATCAATCGCCAGGTAAGCTAAACTCAGGGTTGCTGAAATAATCCGCCGCTGGCGTTCAAGACCAGAAAGAGCGCAACTCGGTTGCCGACAAGCCGAGCCGCCCACAGAGCAGATCGTTCGTAACCCTCTCCACTAATTCCCAATACAATAGTCTCCTAGGCCGTGAAGGGTCAATGGAACGAAGAATGGCCCGCAAGGCCGCCCGACACTCTTCAAGTAAACTCGACTGATTCCAGAGCTTACGACAGCGCTCAACCCTAGAAATGTTATGGTAAGGTTAGGGAAGGCGTCCCTAATACTACCCTCCAAGATCGAGTCTTTTGTCAAAGTGCATGACAGAGAGTGAGTACAGCCAACCGGTAAAGGACGAGAGGAAAGACGTGCGTGGCGGACGCCTCAACCCTACCATTCAAGGACAATCACCTTTGGAGCCAAGTCTGGAACGCCACCCCGACCTTTGCCTGTACCTCCGATCAATTCTTCTCCAGCTGAAACCCGGGTTCGAGCCACACAATACGGACGGGTCCGTCTGTCCAACTGAAGGGTCCCGGCAGCGCGACCCCCTTCCAGTCGCCTAACCGTAAGCCGGAAGACTTTTTGCGGTTAATCTTGTCCCCAGTGACCTTGTATAGTTGAAGCGCCTTCTGTACCAACTCAATATCGCTGTGGTACGACACGAAAATGGATACGTTATCGGCGTACGTGGAAACACTGGTTTGAGCGTCACTAGGAATAGCAATTCCACGTAGGACCATATGGACGCCCTGTCCCTCAGCCGGCTCCAACGCCAAAGCATAAAGTAGGGGCGACAACGGGCAACCCTGACGAACTGACCGTGGCAGCGCAAAAGCGCGCGACCACTTCCCGTTCACCTGAACCAAGGCACTGGATTTAGCGATACAGGAGGCTGGTCCACTTGCAGAAGTCTGTTTTGAATTTAGCGTCCTCTAGGATAACAGCCATGTATTGATAGTCATCCTTATCGAACGCCTTGGACTGATCCAGATTGATCAGCGCAGCTTGCTCGTTGTCTTCTACACTCTTTATGATCGTGCAGAGCAAATGCAGGTTGCTCTGAATTTTCTGTCTCTTCACTGCACAAATCTGCTCGGATCTCAACAGAATCTCGACAACTGACTGCAAACGCTTCGTCAGGATCGTAGCCAAAATCTTTAACTCTGTTTAGCAGAGTTATGGGCCTATAATCATCTAAATCCCGCCTACCATCCTTTCCCTTTCTCGACAGAAACCAGTTGTTGAACACGACTGTCAAAATTGGCACAAAAATGTGGAACAGCCTGAAGTACAGTTCGTAGGGCAGATTATCAAGTCCCAGAGACTTTCCACTGCCGACTCTCTTCAATGCCAAGTAGACTTCGCCTTCTGAGATCTCATCCTCGCAGCTATCCGCTTCAGTTGGCGAAAACCAAAGAAAGTCAGCCAAATAGCTGTGAAATTTTTCGCTACAGTGTCCAGGCCCTTGAAAAACTGGCTCCCGAAACGCCTCGCACATGTCGCTGGTCGACCTCAGACTACATCCCTTCGGGGTATTGACCTTTCGAATGTCTCGATCGGAACCTCAGCAGAATTATTTCGTGAGCAATTCTGCGCCCATGTTCACGGCTTCGTTAGAGCTTTTGTTTAACCTATGCCTAACTACCATGGTAGCGCTCGCTACTCGCACACTCTAGAGCCTGGCTAACTACACCTATCTCTAGGGAATCCACCCTCAGCCTCCGCCCGGGATAGAATATCCTTGAGAGTCATCACCTACTCAGCCTTATCTAAGGTGAGTCCTTGGCTGATATAATCCTATCTATAAACCGATCCACCGCCTATTCCTAATAACTGCCCCCACGTTCCCGCTGTTGCTGGAAGTCCCGCCTGTCCAGTAAAGATAGATTGAACTTTTAGTGTTCAGCCATTCTAGGCCTAGCATCTAACGTCATCCGGCCACAGACAAATCTGTGGTCCGAATAGCCTAGACAGTGGAACGTGGGACAATCTAGCAGATCTAGATCGACTCTTCTCACTAACATTCTATCCGGGTAGACGGCCACTTATGAGCCCACATCCACATCTCCCCCTTTGTGTAATCCACCCGGTATCTATCGACGAGACCAAACTCGCCGATCAGATCGACCAAACTACGATCGCCCGACTTTCCGATAGATCCGTACCCTCTGTCTAATTTGGGGTCCAGGACGACATTCCAGTCCCCCATTAAACTAAGCGCAACAAATCCACCAGGAACGACCCCAACCGACGGAAAAAGGTGACATGCTTCTTCTAATCGTTGGGTGCATAAACCGCAACGATCCGAAACGAATGACTATTCACGGCAATATCGACTACAATCAACCGGCCCTCTGCACATACATGGACAAGGT